TTATGCCCCACTTCTCTACCTTCCCCCATTGCTCAGCTGGCTCCAACCTCTTGCATGTCTCGTCCCCTCAGCTCCACTTTTGGCTGTGCTTTCAGCTATTAGCCCAAGACTCTGGAACTCTCTACCTCAATTCTCCACCTTACTCCCGCCTAGTCCCTATGAAGAGGGCGCTATATAAGTGCAAGTTGTAATTGTTGCTGTCTATCTTTATATCACGCCTGAAGATGTTCCTCTTCGACTGTGCTTATGGTAAATCTCCCCTCTCTCCCTGGCTTGACATCATGCACCACCATTGTTAGTGCTTCAAGATGCTACCCGGCACTAAGGGTTGTTGTTAAATTGTTGTTAACTGCTGGAAATGCAACAAGTCTATATGAAGAAAACTATTAAATACTATTTACAGTAAAGTCCTGATAACAAGATACTGGCTTAACTTGTTACTATCATTCAAGTCATCATACTGTCAGTATCCCGGTGGCTTCTCATACAAAATGTTAATAAGCGACTCCATCCGCTTTACTTACCCCATTTAACACATAACTTGTTGTATTCTAGAAATTCTTGTAAGTATTTTCAATGTAAAATTAATTGGATAACTAGTCCGACAAGGTGGCATCTTGCATCACAGAGATCTCCTGTTCTATGCTTGACCGGTACGGGCGCTTGGCAGAGGTTGGATGCGCATGCTCAGATGCATCGCAGAGACCTCTGGTCTATTGGAGGACCTTGGTCTCCCTCCCTTTCTTGTCAGAAGCCTCTGGTCTATTGAAGGGTTGTGCCGTGGTCTCCTGTCCCGCCTCTCACCGGGTGGCCCTCCAGTAGAATTGGAATACCGATGATGTGGCCGTCCAATAGACCAGAGGCCTCTGCGAAGGATCTGAGCATGCTCGCCCAACCTCCGCCAATCACTTGCAACAGTCACAACGCCCCTTGTGGCCTGGGAGGGCATATGCCTAACTCATCATTCTGGATGACAAGTCATTGAGCCCATTTCCTTCAGTCCTGAGTTATCAGGAATTTACTGAATTGAAATGGTTCAATACAATTTTGTTTTCCATTGTTTGCTGAAGTGGCAAATAAATGCAGCTAAATACTCAATCAAAAGTTTGGCCATTTTGAGTCTGACTCGGTTAATGTGGTTAACACATTAGTTACCTTTTAGCCTTTGGATAGATAATAAATTGACATCAATGTAAAATATTTTAAGAGGAGAGGATACATTGTATTCCAATTCAAGGCAAAGATTTTCACCATAAATTACTTCAAAATTGCCACTTTCCTTATGGCAGACCCACCTAGAGGTCTTGTGTTCTGCAGTCACCATCTTGAATACTGAACCATTCATTGGGATATGAATGTGGATACCCCAAAGTGCAGTATTATGGTTCTGCACTATTCAAGAGGGGACTTTAAAGCCATCAATTGGAGGAGGTATCCACCTCAATTGTTTACTTGTATTGGTGTCTGGGGATTGTGATAGACAACATCCTTTACTTGGACACTGTCCTTCGGGGCCACATTGAAAAGGAGCGACACACAATCTAGTCTCTTCAATGATAGCAACGTTTTCCTTCATGATCCTGAGCTCCTGGGCATGCAACTCATTGGCAGACCATGGACCAAGCAGTGAAGTGGATTCATAGTAAAAAGGGAAGGAGCTATCAAGGAAAGAAGGCTCTACATATACTGATCTGTCACTCAACATTTTGGAAGCAGAGGCAGCTTCACTGTAGACTCCTCCATTTGCCAAGGCCTCTCACAGGGGACCTGGATTAAACAGTTGGTATGAGTAAACCTGGTCCATCAGTATATCATATATCATTGATGAAGCATTGGACTTTGCCCTCCAGATCATCAAGGTGGCTGGCACATCACAAGCTGTACTGTATGGGAACTTCCACCATACTGCACCCAGTCTGTCAAATAGCTGATTGGGAAACTCTTAAGGCTTGGGACAGAAGCTTCTGGAAGACATTACCTAGACATTTGCACACTAGAATTTGGTATCCATGTTGATTGGAATGCAGAGAGGTCTGCACCTATTTGAGGTTACTTCACTGCACAACGTTAGCATTTGTTTTGATCTTCAGCTCTCCTTCCTTCGTCACATTTAGTCCCTGCATAAAGACAGCTTTTCTTCACCTTAAAAGGGTAAGAAGTCTCTATATTGGGGTTAATGTAACCCTAATCCACATTGCCCACCTCTGCCTTTGTCACACAAAATGCTGCTGAAATCCTCATTTACACCATTACCTCCTGACTCAGTTTCTTAAACAAACTCTTTGCCTGTCTCTCTAGTTCCACCATCTGCATGCTCTAGCTGATTCAAAAATCATTTGCTCGCATCCTCACCCACCCCAAGCTCCATATGCCATTGCTCAGTCCTCTATGAAGCACCCTAAAATGTTACTCTAGGTGAAGGCCGTTATATAAATGCCGTTATACAAAACTTGTTCTTCGGGCACTCCTGGTTCCCACTACCTAGCATTGTGTTCACAATACTGCATAATATTCTACTTTTACAATGATTTAACATAGAGTTTAATTTTCCTGGTCTACCAACTGTACTCGTATGTCTGCAAAGTGTGCCTCGAAGAAAGATTTTAAATCAATTTGATTAACTCCAATATGTAGACTTCTTACCCCTTTAATCATAAGTTCATGTGTCCTACATTTCTATTGCAAGCCCTGTATAGGAAGTATTGTTAGGGAGTTTACACAGTGATTCAATCTCATTTGACAAAGTTCTGGGAGTTAAATTAAAATACATCAGATTGCATGTTTGACAGCATGTTAGTCTCATAAAGATAGGATTCACCCACAAAAACTGTGAAAGTGTCATCACTGAGTGATGGTAACAAAAGATCTGCCTACATTGCACTTGGCTGATTCTCCTTTATATTTGGAATATAACTGGGTTTTACTAAATTACATCCAAGTGGATTCTTCTGAACCTTCATTCATCTGCTGTGGAGATGTTATCCTCTGTTCTGCTTGCTACAATTCCTGTTTTTTTGTTGCTATTTTTCTGTTTTAATTCCCATCTGTCTCATTTCTCTTTTGGTGCTTTAACATTTTTCTCTGGTACTGCTTTCAAGTTTCTAACTCGAGTTGCAATTTTTTTTTGTTTTGTGCTTCAATGTTTTCCTCGTCCCTAGTTTAAAAATTGCGGTTATCTCGCTCAGGTAATGGCTCATTCTACATGTGATTTGTGCTGATGATTGCCCACAAAATATACAGTCAATTCACTTTACAGTATATTCTGTGAAGCGCTTTGAGATGTCTCGAAGACGTGATAAGACGTTATATCAAATGCATTTATTATTATGATCAAACAATTCCTGCTCCAACAAAACCATGTTTTTTTTAAATTTGCTTGCCTGGTCATAATGCTCCCCTCACTATTTTAATGACTATTGAGGGTGAGAGATACATTTGCTATATATATTTGCTAATATAAATTTTAACCAATTTGTGGAGTCCTATAGCTTAGTGGTTAGAGCCCTCGCCTCACAAGCGAGAGGACCTGGGTTCGCTTCCCAGGCGGGGCAAAACGTTGGGCAAGTTTCCTTACTCCACACACCTTTGTTTATCTAGCAGTAAGTAGGAACCCGATTGTTAATCGATTTGCGAATAGCTTTTCTGGGGGTAATGTAATAACCTCTTTAAAAAAAGTAATAATAATAATTTGGTCACCGAAGCCACGACTGGCACACTATTGTGTGCGATTGGCTGCCGCATTTCACCCACAAAGTATACACTTTGCAGTATATTCTGTGAAGCACTTTGAGATGTCTCGAAGATGTGATAAGGTGCTATATCAAATGCAAGGATTATTATTAATAGAAATGGATTTAAGTAATCACATTGTGCAACAACTAACAAATGGATAAATAGTATATTTTTAAATAAAAAGCTGGTCTGTAAGCCCAAGATTTTAAACTAACAATTTCTTTTTTAGTAAGAAAGAGTATTCATCATGTTATTTGTGCCCTTCTGGAGCTATTTTTTTCTGCTAGGGAAATAAACTGTGTGAAATGTTAGTGCTCACAAAAATTAACAGGGGAACAAAGCCTAAGGGGAATACTCACTGTACAAGGTACAACTGTAGTTTATAGAGGCAAAGTATTATAAATCAGCAGTATGCTTAAGTGAGAGAAAAATACTTGCTAAATCAACAAAAGCTTAATGCATATTTACAACTATGTTTTTGAGGATCCCCAGATATCGTCTTCGTAGCTACTCTGGTGATGCCATTGACTGTAGGTACCAGGATGTATCCAGAAGCAGCTAAATTTGTTTTCTTGCCTTCGTGCTCAAGTACAGCTGCTGTATTTCCGCTGTGGGGTATTTTGCATGTTCTCAACAAAACTGTTACTTGAGTTAAACATCTTATAATACATAATAATAATAATCCTTGCATTTGACATAGCGCTTTTCACATCTAGATGTCTCAAAGCGCTTCACAGAATATACTGTAAAGTAAATTGACTGTATATTTGTGGGCGAAACGAGGCAGCCAATTGCGCACAGCAATGTCTCACAAACAGTCATGGATTGAAGTGACCAAATTATTAGTGTTTTTTCTTGAGGGATTATTATCAGGAGTGTGGAATAAGGAAACTTGCCCAAGGTTTCACCCTGCTGGCAATCAAACCCAGGTCTCTCGCTTGCAAGGCGAGTGGTCTAACCACTGAGCTACAGGACTCCAGTCCACAGGACTGATCTTATGATCAGCTTAAAGACAAGTCAAAGCACCCATCTCTGTTAAGATGGTTGGAGCTACTGAAGGACATATGTGGCACTTTGCTTTGAAGAGGGATATAGGCATTTTAGCAAACAATCAAATGCTCTGAAGCCTGTAACAAATGATTGCAAAGTTGCTGAAAAATGTTTCATTATTTGTTCAAAAATTAAGTCCATTCTTAAGTTCCATTTCCTTGTAACATTGTTATAAAATGTATAGTATAATATTCTATGTGTATTTCTGCCTTTAACAGGAGGAGCAGAACCAGGATGCGTTTTGGTAGACACATCACTTCATCTGTTTCTGTGCACCCTATGGAAGATCTCCATATAAATCGCCTACAACGCGTTAGTCAACGTGCACCTTATTAACTTACATTTTGAAATTAATTGGGGAAAAAAACTGTTGAACAACGGTTTGGGAGAGCAACTTGTTTTTAAATTCAATGCTTATAAACATGATTGAATTAACATTTACAGAAGTTCTCCATGTGATAGGTGAAGACAAATGGTTACGCCTTTTCTTCTCACGTCACATTGCATTTTGTACCTTTTTATTTTTGTTTTTTTATTCCAAGCAGTTTTGTGGCCCACTTTCCTGCATCAACAACATGTTCCATTTTCTAGTCACAAGTGGTGGTTTTTATTTTCCTAGTTTAAACACTCGATACTTTAGCACTTTTGTTTATTAAATGTTTTATTTTGTCTTAGAAATAATTTGAAATATGTAAAATTTTACGCATCCTGTTTTACGTTTCAGATTAATTGTATTATAATGCTGATGAGTGAATAGCCTTTAATTAATTTTATGTAGGTTGTTTTGTATATTTAAACTGTATGCTGATCAAATTAAATATTTTATATGCTAGGGAAGTTAAATTAATTTAGGAATGTTTCAATTCATAATACTATTAATGGAATGCCTACTACAATTGGTGGATTTGTGATGCAGTCTTATATAGATATTGCTGTTCAAACTACTCAAGGTTCTTTGTGAGTGGGAGAGGGGTTAATCCAAGAAATGGTTTATTGCAATCTGTCAAACTGTTCTATTAAGCTTTTTGTTAAATGTAATGCAGTTTTGTGAAGATTAGTTTGCAATCTAACTGCTGAAGAAATACAACTACTTTTCCAAGTTAGACCATAACATGTATACAATGCACTGACGTACAATAATTTTGTTAACCATTTATAAAATGATCTTACTACTGCTATAACCTTGTGGTAACCATGAACAGAATGCGTGCTCCAATTTATCTTTAATGTGTACCAATATTGAACGTAATTAAACTCAACAACTTTGTCTCTGGTATTATGTATAATTCAGGTTTTCTCATTGTAAGGTAGAATGTGCAAACACTGTATGCTTTAATCAAAGTTTTTTTTAGACTTGAATTTGTATATAATGCTCACAGTTGTAGATTTACAGAAACTTTCTATTTTGAATTATTCAATAAAATGTCTTGAATATTAGATTTTTTTGTAGCTACAAAAGTATCATGAATACTGGTTTAATGCGTCTTTGTTGACTTTGACACTTTGCAGAAACGCTTAATCACAACAAATAATTCAACAATAGTTTTGACAGCTTTAATATAAGAATTTTAAGAGAGAAGTAGATAATTATTTGGGGAGGACAAGTTTGCAGGGCTACAGGGAGAAAGCGGAGGAGTGGGATTAATTTGGATAGCTCTTTTCAAAGAGCTGGCACAGACACGATCGATTCACGCAAAGAATGTGAATTGAGAAGTTTCGCGGTGCCATATAGTTCTTTTTCTTAAGGAAAATCCATTTTTGGTTTCTACTGTCCTGTATCACATTCCTCTAGAAAGGGAAGATGGATGAAAAGACCTTTTCCGGTTTGATCGAATCTTTTCATAGAATTATAAAGCACGGAAGGAGGCCATTCGGCCGATGGTGTCTGTGCGAGCTCTTTAAAAAGAGCTATCCAAATTAATCCCACTCCTCCGCTTTCTCCCTGTAGCCCTACAAACTTGTCCTCCCCAAATAATTATCTACTTCTTTCTTAAAAGTTGTTATTGAATCAGCTTCCACCATCCTTTCAAGGCAATGCCTTCCAGATCCCAACAACTCACTGCGTTAAAAAATCCTCTTCACCTCCCCGCTTTCTTTTAACTATTTTAAATTGGTGTCCTCAGATTACTGACCCACCTGCCAGTGGAAATAGTTTCTCCCTGTTCACCCTATTGAATCTGGGTCTGTGTGTGTGTGTGTCTCTCTCTCTCTGTCTGAATGTGTGTGTGTGTTTCTGTGTCTGTGTGCAGTGCAGGTTCTGAGAGATGGTGGTGAGCTCCTGTAGCCTCGCTGGTGTTCTCCCCCGCCCCCATGGCCATCCAGGTTTTGTTAAAGAAGCAATTAATTTTTTTTTGCGACAATCTAATATGTGTTATTTTTCATAGAAGATTCATAGATTCATAAAATGTTACGGCACAGAAGGAGGCCATTCGACCCATCGAGTCTGTGCCGGCTCTTTGACAGAGCAAGTCACTTTCACTAACCCAATCACCAGCTTTCTCCCCATAACCCTGCAAACCCGTCTTCCCCAGATACCTATACAGTTCTCTCTTAAAAGCTGTTATCGAATCGGACTTTACTACCCTTTCAGGCAGATCATTCCAAATTTGAACAACTCGCTGAGTGAAAAATTTTCTTCTAACCTCCCCTCTGCTTCTTTTGGTAGATATCTTAAGACTGTGACCACGGGTCACAGACACACCTACCAGCGGAAACAGCTTTTCCTTATCTAGCCTTATGTTTAGTTTTTATCAATAAATTTTTTTAAAAATGTGGCAGTAAAATATACCTCAATAGCATCAACCCCTGCAATTTTTCCACAAAATTGAACAAAGGCCTCCGCAATTTCCTGCAAGATCCGCAAAGTGTTCTGCATTTTTATTGCAAAAAATGTCCGCGCTTTTCTATTGGCCTAGCTCATCACCTCCTACAGACGGACCTACAAGCACCCTCAATCTAATGCCAAGGGTGAAGAGGTCCTAAATTGCTTCCAATTACCTCTCCCCAGCTCGGCATCAAAGTCCGACATTGTTAAGCACTCCAAGACGCTACCCCATGTAAAGGCTGCTACATGAATACAGGTTGGCGTTGTTGGTTACATATATACCCATAAAACCTAATTCATGAGCCTAGAAAACATTGCAGACTTCTACATAATATGTAGTGAATTATATACCATTTTAACCAACCACAAAGCAATTGTATATTTTGTCTTTCACATCTGAAACCAGTTAACAATTATAAGAGGGAGTGATGAGGGAAAATTAAACCTTTTCAAGAGGGTTTTGAAGGGGAGAGGAAGAAAATCAAAGACGTTCTGAAAAGGAGTGCCAGAGGCTAAGGATGTTATGTCAGAAGGTTTGTCCAACAAGAGACTTACAAGGTTCTAGATAAACCAGAGATGCTGGAGGGTAAATTAGGAGGGGAGGTTTTCAAAAATCTAGTCTTGAGGTGACCTTGCACCAAATGCATTTCAAAGCACTGAAAATTTCAACCTATGCAACAAAGAAAACTTAATTTTTTAAAAATTTTGAAGGACTTTTTTTAGTGATTGTAATTTTTTGGAGGAAAGTGTGTGTGTGTTTGTAGATTTTTTTTGTTTGGTCTCTAGGTGGCAGTGTAGCTTTTTCTTTTTCCCCCAAAAAAGTTTTGTCAGGTTGCATGGCAATGCAGGACATGGAGCTTTTAACATTGTCAGTGTGGCTACATTGTGGCTCAGCTTTGCCATTAGGCTAATTCTTGATCTCAACTGCAACACCTGGAGAAGCACTAGGAGCACTGGAAATATCAGGACAACTGAACATTCAGTTTATGCTCGTTTATCTTTAGGTTTCAGGAATCATCTGTACGATGCTTTACAATGAAGGTAAAGCAGTGGGTAGGATAGCCACACAAATGTGGCTATGAAAATAATGGGTTTAATGACTTTGGTCCATGCTTCGGTCAAACTCAATATGATGCTCTTTCTGATGTCTTGCTCCCCCCTACCTCTGCAACCTCCTAAACCCCTACCATCCTGCTCGCATCTCAAGACCCTCTTCTTTGACCGTGCTTTTGATCTCCCTGCTTCCCCCACTGCCCTCCACCCTCCCTGACCCCGACCCCCAGCTCGGGTCTGAAACTCTGTCTGTCCGGCACCTTGGGACTCGCAGACATGAAAGGAGTTATACAAATGTAATTTTGTTGTTGTTATTTGCAGGAATGTATGCAGTTTAAAAAACATATCAACAAGAAAATCTGTCCTTCGTATAGATAAGGTTCATTAATCATAACAAAAGGAATTTTGTTAGATATCGGAAATGCATCTAAACTTTGAGCACTTTTCCCAAACATTGATAAATTCCCATCTTATCCTGGTCCTTACTGAAATCAACATTTGTTTTTTCTCAACCTTGATTCCACTCCTCAACACCAGATGGCACTTTACCATTTATGTTTCAAAATTGCCAAATACTGTACACTATTCATGAAATCATTCTTAGTCTATGTAATGAAAACATTTAAAGTTACTTTGGAGGTGATATTATTTGTCATATCTCAGGCAAACACTCAATACCACAAGCAAATTCATACAATGTATTTTGAGTTATTACAATGCTGAAGATCTTGCAAAACTTGTATCAAGCTGTGTGGTCAATTCAGATCAGACATTCATATCTTATGACCTATTAGGGTTGCCATTTAGGATCAACCACCGGCATGTTATATTTACTAAACTCTTGCTACTCAATCTGTATCAGTCTGTACTGCCGAGTGACGGGTCAAACTTTCACTTGGCAGCTGTCTAATGATGATCAAATAATGACTATGTTCCTCAGAGGGAGGTAAATAGTGGCTCCTTGGGGTAGAGTTGTGCTGAGGAGATGTGCCTGACAATAGAATATTAGACATGACTCAAAATACTGCAGATGCTGGAAATCTGAAACATAAACCGAAAGAGCTGGGAAAACTCAGCAGGTCAGGCAGCATCTATGGAGAAAAGAAAGTGAGTCGACGTTTCGGGTCCACGATCCTTCATCAGAACAGAATATTGGAATTGGGTCAATCTTTTGAGGTATTTTCTGAACAAGGTAAATCTGCAGTATGCACTGTTCATGGTAGACTAGCCAGCCTGGCTCAGCGCCAGAACTTGGAGTCACTTGTGGCAGGGATTCTTCCACTGGACTACTGTTAATCCTGTTAACTCTAATGAGTAGGGTGGTCAGACTCATAGCTGATCAATGAGAAGCTTTCCAGAAAGTGTTTGCAATGGTAAGCTGTGAGGTTTTAGCTGGCTGAACTCCAACACTACTCAAAATGCACACTCTAGGTTCTGCAAAGCTTGGCTTCTGCCAACTTCCACCTAATACTTTGTAGAATTGGGTGACCAGGGTGCATCTGACTGGAGAGAGAGTGTATATTCTATTCCAGGAACGGGGAAATTTCCAGGTGTAGATGTCAAACATTGACGCATTAATTCCAACCCGCTCTTGAGTTGCAGTGCGCAACCATGCAGCTTGATGCTGTCAATGCCCGAGGTGAGAAGGCACTAATGGAAGTCAAGCAGGACTGTGTTTAACAGTCTGTGTTTAACTGAAGAAAGTTAGAGCTCATCCAGGACTTGATGTTTGACAGGCATTTAGTCAGGACAGCAGTGATGCTGGATTCGAGGGTGCAGCTAAGACACTAAGATAGAATTCAGTGTCATCCGTGTGCATCTGGAAGTGAACCACATGCCTGTGGATGATATCACTTAGTGGGGGTGTATAGATAGTGAGGAGTAGAGGACCGAGGATAATAATAATCTTTGCATTTGATATAGCACTTTTCACGTCTTCTAGATGTCGCAATGCGCTTCACAAAATATACTGTAAAGTGAAATGACTGGATATTTGTGGGTGAAACCCGGCAGCCAATTGCGCACAGCAGTGTCTCACAAACAGTCATGGATTGAAGTGACCAATTTATTATTGTTTTTTTTCTTGAGGAATTATTATCAGGCGTGTGGAGTAAGGAAACTTGCCCAAGGTTTTGCCCTGCCGGGAATTGAACCCAGGTCTCTCGCTTGAGAGGCGAGTGCTCTAACCACTGAGCTATAGAACTCCTTCATAGAGGCCGGGGAAACATTGCATGTGATGGGGGCAGGAGCACAAACCATTTGATGTGATGGGCAGAAACCCATCAACATGCTTAAGAGTATCCAAAACAAACGGAGAATTCCATGCATCCCAGCTACACATGGAAATTCCAGAGTTAAATTGTTGGAATGGAATGGGGTCTCTCTCTCTCGAGGGATGCATCCTGCTTACCTAATTCCAGAGAGTATTAAGCGCAGGTTGGCAAGAGCCTGGGAACTGGATGGTCCAAGCACCAGATACCCAACAAAACACTCATCTCTTTCAAAAAATGTAAGGAATACAATATGACTCAGATTTATTTTGAATGAAACCCAAGTAAATATATGAGATGAATAAGAAAATAATCTATTGTTTAAAAATAGTTTTACTATGCACTAAAGTTACTTTATGCTAAATGCAACATATAGGGAGCAGAAAGGAGCCCCAGTCTAGTGACTATCCTCCTTGGGGATGGAGGCAAGTGTAAGGGTTCCTTGGAGCTGACCTGGCTGGCAACAGAATGTTGGAATTGAGCCCATCCTCTGTGGCGGTCTTGGTTGTCCAATTCCTGAGCCAGCTGAGACCGCAGAACTCCAGGCCTCTTGCTGAAGACAGCAAGTCTTCTCGCAGGAAGACTCGCAGGACTTCGAAGGGGAGACCAGCCTCTGGGGTCAGGGACTCTTCCTACTGTGCTCCCATTAACCCTGTAAGCCAAAGCCCAATTGGGTAAGATGGTCGAAGCTGAGCAAGCAGTGAGAAAGCTTGCCAGACAGTGCTATCAATGGAAAGCTATGCAGTTTATGTGGCTAGACTCCAGCAGATCACACTCTGGAGTTCCCAAGCCTTGGCTCTTGCCAGCCCGCACCTTAAATTCTCCAGAATTAGGGAAGCACAATGTACCCCTCAAGGGGAGAGTGCACATTTCATTCCAATAAATATCTTGGGAATTTCCCTGTGTGGGTGGAAAGCATGGAACGCTCTTAAACACGGTGATGGGTTTCCGCATGTGCCATGACATTCAGCTGACCAAAAAAAAGGAGTCGATGGGTTTAGACTCTGGCAGAAAGAAGCAAAACTATATTGCAAATTCCCAATTGCAATTTTCCAATGTTAATAATGCTTGGATTTGATAAGTCCCTTCACATAGTGAGCACGTCTCAATGCACATCACTGAATTAAATCTAAAGTGCAGTGAATGTGTGTTCTTTAGGCAAACATATTCCAGGAATTGTGCCTTTATTGTCCTGCAGTAAAGAGTGACCACTATCTCAAAATTGTCTTTCTCTTCTTTTCTCGTGTTTTGATTGAGAGGTTATTTCTATATTCTGAATCTCAACGATCAGGAAACCCACTTTCTTTTCCCTGATGGCATTTGACAGGGCAAACCCCACCCCCTAAAGGATCCGCTCACACTATGGTTTCTCATGTCCCCTCGTGGGGGGAGACAAGTCCAGATGAGAAAGACACGTTGCAACAGCCATTGGTATGTAGGTTTCATAAAAGCTTCCATTCCAGCTGCTGAATTCTAGTGCGGGGGAACAGTAAAGTTATGCAAGTGTTTGATTAGTGTACAGGAGGGAGGAAGGGAGGGGAGGAAGCTGTTTTTCAACATGTGAGATTGAAGCAAATTGATAGGGAAAGTAACAACAACAACTTGCATTTATATAGCAGCCTTCTCGCAGGGCAGGGATATAAATAAAAATATATTTCNAAAAAATATATAAAAGCATTCACTTATATGTATTTGCACGCTGTACACCGTCGTTGTTAGCTACAACAATACAAACTGTAGGTAATATCACGTACTTTCCAAGTTGTCTCAGTCAGAATGTTAATATATGATGGGATGTCAGCCCTACACCTCGGATAATCCGAGCAGGTCAGGCAATTGGGGTATAACAGCTTCTGTGCAGTAATTCAGTTCAGAGACACCGAACACCAGATTCAAATGGTTTCTAACCTCCAAACAAAGACTCTGCTACTAATCTTAACCTAAACCGCAGTTTTTATGGCAATCTCTGACCTCAATCAAAGCTGTCCATAGCCTGCCTGCACACTGGGGTTCTCAGTGCTCGGTGCCCAGCCTGAGGACAACCTCCCGTAAATGTTAATATAGATATTGCGGACACTGAACAACAGGTGTGTGAATCTCACTGGCTTTAACAGCACGTTGCCCCTGGAGTTATCAAAAGGATGGACACTAGTAACTGTTGTGCACACATGGCATGACACTATGTGCAGCATGGAGCATGGAAAGGAACCCAGTCAACGTGCATCATGGTACTTGGCTTTCTCTGGCTCCCAAACTGACAGACAATCTGTGGTGCACTAAGGTCTGTCCGCCTTGTGCAGCCGGTTGCCAGTGTTACGGTTGCTGGAGGGACAGTAGCCGGCAGTGGAGGGAGTTGTGGACACAGGTGGTGCCGGTGAATGAAAACCGCGAAGCCATCCCTGTGGAGCCATGTGAACCTTGCAAGATGCTTGGGAGCCAAACTTCATCCAAACACAGTGAGAGCTCGGGTAATGTCTCCTGGCAGCGGCAAACACACACACACACCAACAGACAAACACACACAAACTCACACTCACACACTCCCACACAGAAAGACAAACACACACACACAAACTCGCAAACACTTAGACAAACACACAAACTCACAACCCCCCCCCCCCCCACACACACAGACAGACAAACATACACACACACTCACACAAACACTGACAGATAGACAGACAAACACACACACACTCACACAAACTCACAAACACTGACAGATAGACAGACAAACACACACACACACAGACAGAAAAACACCCAAACTGAGACACACACACACACAGACATTAACACACTCAAACACAGACAGACAAACACACACACACACACACAGAAACAAACACACACCTACACTCACAGACAGACTAACACACACATTCACACTCAGACACTCACACACACAGACAAACACTCACACACAAATACTAACAGACAAACACACACTCTTACACACAGACACGCACTCATACACAAAAACACTCACACACTCACATACGAACACACATTCACTCATACACACTCACACAGACACTCACTCACACACACAGGGACACTCACAGAGACACAGACAGACTCACTCACTCACACATGGAGAGACTCACAGAGTGACACTAACTCTCACACACAGAGACACTCACTCACAGTTACGCCCCGTTCATGTGTAGGAGGCGTTGCCTGAATGTATAAAAATCTCAGCCGACAGAGCCATTGCCAGTGGAGAGGTCAGACCTGGTACCCACACAAACCAGGTGAGTCCTGGGTTATTGATCATTTACTGTTCAGCTGCATAGTCTTGCACATGGATCACATTGGTGGCTGGGTATTGCTGGGGCTAGAGCTGGGTATTGGGGCTGGGTATTGCTGGGGCTAGAGCTGGGTGTTGGGGCTGGGGTCGGGGCTGGAGGTTGGGTATTGCTGGGGATGGGGATGGATGTGGCTGGGGATGGCTGGCTGGGGCTGGAGGTTGGGGCTTGGGATGGCTGGCTGGGGGTTGCAGGCTGGGGTTGGGGATTGCAGGCTGGGGTTGCAGGATGGGGGTTGGGGATTGCAGGCTGGGGGTTGCTGGCTGGGGGTTGGGGATTGCAGGCTGGGGGTTGCTGGCTGGGGGTTGGGGATTGCAGGCTGGGGGTTGCTGGCTGGGGGTTGGGGATTGCAGGCTGGGGGTTGCTGGCTGGGGGTTGGGGATTGCAGGCTGGGGGTTGCTGGCTGGGGGTTGGGGATTGCAGGCTGGGGGTTGGGGATTGCAGGCTGGGGGTTGCTGGCTGGGGGTTGGGGGTTGCTGGCTGGGGTTGGGGATTGCAGGCTGGGGGTTGCAGGCTGGGGTTTGGGGATTGCAGGCTGGGGGTTGGGGATTGCAGGCTGGGGGTTGCTGGCTGGGGTTGGGGATTGCAGGCTGGGAGTTGGGGATTGCAGGCTGGGGGTTGCAGGCTGGGGTTTGGGGATTGCAGGCTGGGGGTTGGGGGTTGCTGGCTGGGGTGGGGATTGCTGGCTGGGGGTTGGGGGTTGCTGGCTGGGGGTTGGGGACTGCAGGCTGGGGTTTGGGGATTGCAGGCTGGGGTTGGGGATTGCAGGCTGGGGGTTGGGGGTTGCTGGCTGGGGTTGGGGATTGCTGGCTGGGGGTTGGGGGTTGCTGGCTGGGGGTTGGGGATTGCTGGCTGGGGTTGGGGATTGCAGGCTGGGGGTTGGGGACTGCAGGCTGGGGGTTGGGGATTGCAGGCTGGGGGTTGCTGGCTGGGGGTTGGGGATTGCAGGCTGGGGGTTGCTGGCTGGGGGTTGGGGGTTGCTGGCTGGGGTTTGGGGATTGCAGGCTGGGGGTTGCTGGCTGGGGGTTGGGGGTTGCTGGCTGGGGGTTGGGGATTGCTGGCTGGGGGTTGGGGGTTGCAGGCTGGGGGTTGGGGTTGCAGGCTGGGGTTGGGGGTTGCTGGCTGGGGGTTGGGGGATTGCTGGCTGGGGGTTGCAGGCTCTGGGTTGGGGATTGCAGGCTGGGGGTTGCTGGCTGGGGGTTGGGGGTTGCTGGCTGGGGGTTGGGGGTTGCTGGCTGGGGGTTGGGGGTTGCTGGCTGGGGGTTGGGGGTTGCTGGCTGGGGGTTGGGGGTTGCAGGCTGGGGGTTGCTGGCTGGGGTTGGGGGTTGCAGGCTGGGGGTTGCTGGCTGGGGGTTGGGGGTTGCTGGCTGGGGGTTGGGGGTTGCAGGCTGGGGGTTGCTGGCTGGGGGTTGGGGGTTGCTGGTTGGGGCTGGGGTTGGTGGCTGGGGTTGGGGGTTGCAGGCTGGGGGTTGCTGGCTGGGGTTGGGGGTTGCAGGCTGGGGGTTGGGGGTTGCAGGCTGGGGGTTGGGGGTTGCAGGCTGGGGGTTGGGGTTGCAGGCTGGGGGTTGGGAGTTGCAGGCTGGGGGTTGGGGGTTGCAGGCTGGGGGTTGGTTTCGGGGGTTGCTGGCTGGGTTGGGGGTTTGAGTTGGAGGTTGGGGGTCGGGGGCTGTGGGTTTGGAATTGGGGGCTGCGGGTTGGGGTCGGGGTTGGGGGCTGTGGCTGTGGGTTGGGGGTTGTGGCTGGGGGTTGGGGGGTTGTGGTTGGGGGTTGTGGCTGGGGGTTGGGGTGTTGGGGGCTGTGGTTGGGGTCGGGGGCTGAGGGCTGGGGTGGGGTGTTGGGTGTTGGGGGCTGGGGTCGGGGGCTGTGGCTGGGGGTCGGGTGTTGGGGCTGTGGTTGGGGTCGGGGGCAGAGGGCTGGGGTCGGGTGTTGGGGTCGGGGTTGGGGGCTGAGGGGTCGGGTGTTGGGGGCTGTGGTTGGGGTCGGGGGCTGAGGGCTGGGGGTCGGGTGTTGGGGGCTGAGGGCTGGGGGTTGGGGGCTGTGGTTGGGGTCGGGGGCTGAGGGGTCGGGTGTTGGGGGCTGGGGTCGGGTGTTGGGGGCTGGGGGTCGGGTGTCGGGGGCTGTGATTGGGGTCGGGTGCTGGGGTCGGGTGTTGGGGGCTGGGGGTCGGGTGTCGGGGGCTGTGGTTGGGGTCGGGTGCTGGGGTCGGGTGTTGGGGGCGGGGTCGGGTGTCGGGGGCTGTGGTTGGGGTCGGGTGCTGGGGGTCGGGTGTTGGGAGCTGAGGGTCGGGTGTCGGGGGCTGTGGTTGGGGGTCGGGGCTGAGGGCTGTGGTTGGGGTCGGGGGCTGAGGGCTGTGGTTGGGGTCGGGTGTTGGGGGTCGGGTGTTGGGGTCGGGTGTTGGGGGTCGGGGGTCGGGTGTTGGGGGTCGGGTGTTGGGGGCTGAGGGTCGGGTGTTGGTGGCTGAGGGTTGGGGGCTGAGGGCTGGGGGTCGGGTGTTGGGGGTCGGGGGTCGGGTGTTGGGGGCTGAGGGTCGGGTGTTGGTGGCTGAGGGTTGGGGGCTGAGGGCTGGGGGTCGGGTGTCGGGAGCTGAGGGTCGGGTGTCGGGGGTCGCAATGGCCTCAGGTTTGATGTGCTCCTCTCTCTCTCTCTCTGTGTGTGTGTGTGTGTGGCCGCAGACGGTGTGATGGCGCTGCCCAGACTGGCGCTGCTGCTGTTGCTGCTCTGCGCGGCTCAGCAGCTGCTGTTGACCGCCGGCGCCGCCGCCCGGGACCGGGGCCGGGGTAAAGGCCGGGGCGGCAGGAGGCGAGGCAAGGAGGCGGCCACCCGGGGCAAGTTCGTGAACCGGGAGAAGGCGGAGTGCACCTGGGCCGTGAGCGGGGAAGGGGCGGCGGCGGAGGCGGCGGCGGGGAGTCGGCTGCTCCGGGTCCAGTGCCGACAGGGCGAGGCCGACTTCTGGTGCGAGTTCTCGGGGCTGCCCTCGGCCTGCGCCAAGTACCGCAGCGACGCCGGGAGCTACTGGAAGCAGATCGCCCGCGCCCTGAAGAAGCAGAGGGGCCTCTGCGCCGCCAAAGCCGCGCTGCTCAAGACCAAGGTCTGCCGGGCCGGCCCCCGGGCCGCGCACCTCGGCCTCAGCCGCTCCAGCCTCCTGCCCGGCCTCGGGCTCGGCCAGGAGGGGGGGAAGCCCGGGGGGGAGGAGGGGGGGAAGCCGCCGGGGGAGGGGGGGAAGCCGGGGGAGGGGGGGAAGCCGGGGGAGGGGGGGAAGCCCGGGGTGAGAGGGGGGGAAGCCCGGGGGGGAGGAGGGGGAGGACACCGGTGACTCCGACTATCGTGATCCGGCCGAGGTGGCCGCGCGGTACTGCAGTGAAGGTTGGAGCTCTCTCTGCAAACTGATGGTTCAGACCTTCAATGGCTGAGAGGCAAAGAGCCCTCTCTCTGTCTGTCTCCCTCTACCTGTCTCTCCCTCTCTCTCTCTCTCTCTCTCCCTCTCTCCCCCCCATCTCTCCCCCTCCTCCCTCTCTCTCTCTCTCCCTCCCTCCCTCTCTCCCCCCATCTCTCCCCCTCCCCCATCTCTCTACTCCGTCTCTCCCCCTCTCCCTGTCTCCCCCCCCATCTCTCTCCCCCTGTCTCCCTCCCCCCATCTCTCCCCTCCCCATCTCTTCCCCCCTCTCTCCCCCCCATCTCTCCCCTCCCCCATCTCTCTACCCGTCTCTCCCCCTCTCTCCCCTCCGTCTCTCTCTCTCTCTCTCCCTCCCCCTCTCCCTGTCTCCCCCCATCTCTCTCCCCCTGTCTCCCTCCCCCTGTCTCCCTCCCCCCTGTCTCCCCCCCCATCTCTCCCCCCATCTCTCTCCCCTCTCTCTCCCTCCCATCTCTCTCCCCCCCCATCTCTCTCCCCCCCCATCTCTCTCCCCTCTCTCCCCCCCCCCCCCTCTCCCCTCCCCTCCCCTCTCTCCCCTCACACTTGTCCTGGTTTTTAATCACTGTGTGGTCTCTGTTGCTCTGTGGCCCATTTTCAGAATGTATTTTCTTTTCGTGTGTTGTGTGTGTGTGTGTGTTTTGGGGGTGTGTTTAACTTTCACTGCTTAAAAGGATGAGGCTACTTGTGTGGCTGATGTCTAAATCGTGTGTGTAAAAAAAAAGTTTCGAGTGTGTCTCTTTAATTTATTAACAGGAGAGGTTATAGATCGCAATTATTTACCGTTTAACTACTTTAATACCATGTACTTTTTTTTTCTGGACAGCTATTACCACTCGCTGGTCCCCTGGGAGGACACCTCCCAACACATGTCGCACACGTTGCTATCACTTGCGACTTCCCAAACAATTTGTAATACCCCTTTTTCCCCAAAACTCCAGGTTTTGATAAACTATTGCATTGTGTTGGTGGTGCTCCTTCTCTGGGGCAGTTTTGTAAAATATATTTTATAGATGATGCACTGCCTTGAGTGTTGCAATTAAAAAAAACTTCTCCAATCCCCCCCCCCCCCACACACACTTTTTATTTGGTGTCACACTTTGTCCACTTTCACTGCTCTTCAGATGGAAGCTTTACTTTTTGCTCAAGCCTCAGCCTTGTTTCACTCGTTGCTCTGTGTGTGTGTGTGTGTGTTTTTTTTAAGAAAAACAATCAATATTTTTATATAGGACGGGAGGTTTGTATCAGCTCATTGTAAAAACAAAGTTGTGCGTATTTAAATAAAATGTTTTTTTTCTTTAAACCCGAGTCTTACTTGGATGCCAATGTCGTCTTTTCACGCGAGAAAAGTAAAGCAAACGGTTCCGCCACCACCACCACAACAACAACAACAAATGACATTTGTATTAGTGTCTTTCAATCAAGAGGGTCTCACATTCAACCTAACATTCAACCGGATCTCTTGAATATTAATACTCTAAATAAAGTTATACAGTATTTGCTTTGCATTACATAGTGTCAAGTCACTTTAGAAAGTCTTAGACTTTTTCTCTCTTACAACTAAATCCATATTTACTGATGAAAACTGGAGACCCCAAATTGCTATTACATTTGCTTACGGTAAATATAGTATGACTGCTTTGAGTGAGGCTCTTGATTGAAGGGCGATACATCAAATGGAAAGGTTTAAATTATATATATGTATAAATAATGCAGCCGTGCCTGGCCTTTCGTGCCATTGTTATATCCAATCACTGGTAACCGAGGGAACGTGTGAAACGTGCAACAGCGGGGAGAGAGCCGAGAGTGGGCAGGTGGAGCAGACTGGTACCACAGGACACACAGCCTGGGTTCGATTCCTGGACAGGGCGAAACGTTGGGCAAGTTTCCTTACTCCACATGCCTCTGTTCACCTAGCGGTAAATAGGAAGCCGGTTGTCAGTTGATTGGCGGATCGCTTTGAGACGTCTAGAAGACGTGAGAAGTGCCATATCAAATACGATTAAAGATTATTATTACAGTATTCTGTACAGACACAAGCTGCTGGGCTCTCAGTGTAAAGCTTGAACATCCACACAGGACCACACAAGGTTGCCAGGAGACCCCCACACCTCTGACACAGTGCTGCGGGACTTTCACTTTCTCTCTCAACTGATGCTAAGCTAACAATGTTACACGCCTGTCAGGATCCACTGCTCGCTCATACGTGGTATTGGGGCCAGGTTACAACACATTTTGTCTGGGTTTCCCTGCTGGGGTGAAACCTGGTTTGCATTCGCTGTGATTTCACACACATGCACACTCTCGCAGCCATCTGGTGGCTCCCCCTCCCTTCACTTGCCCCCGGGGCTGTGTTCCCTGGCACAAGGCGGCACTCCTTGACTCCTGTTCCCAGGGAATGCCACCCCCGCTCCCCGCTCCCTCTCACCCCATACTTCACAGCCAATCGGATCCCCAGTGCATGTGTGCAGGGAGTGGCTTTACATGGCTCTCCCTGGCAGGCACCTCCCTCGCACGCACACACACACACATCTCCTGTGGCTGGACAGCTCCGAGCTGTTGGGAAATGAGAGTTTAAAGTGTTTAGAAATTGTTGGCTAATGTCTTTCGTGCTTTACTTTCGCTGGCCTTTACTCCCCTGCTGTTCGAGTTTCAGAGGACAGTATCTACTGTAATCTTGTTGGAGGATCCTGTCTCCTCCTGCACATCCCTTACCCCTCCTCTCCACCATTGGTGGCTGCACTTTCAGCCATCACATCCCCAAACTATGGAAGTCTCTGTCTCAATTCCTCCGCCTCACCCCTACCTTGCCCGTCAGCGGCTCATCAAAGTGAGAACGAGCAAAGTACCCCTTGACCTCTATAATATATTATTGTCATGAAATCTCTGAAGGGGATTAAATCTTATCACTTACATTTGTAAAGGATTGGAAAGAAAATATATCAAAGATAGACAGCATCCTCTTCCTCTTCCCTGTCCCCCGGCACTCCCCAAGTCGTCTACCTACCCCACCTGTTCTGCCACTGCTCCTACCACTGCCCCCACTCTACACTCCATTTCTTCCTCCCTCTGAACCAACATCACCGGCCAATCACACACACGGCCATAACAGTTCAGTGCTGTATTGAGATTTTCAGGCTCCACTGGACAACAAAGGTTGAGTGGAGCTATGATTCAGTTTTACTTTGACAAAAAACAATTGAAGGAGGGTTTTAAATGGGAACTAATGTGTTCTTTAAATTGATGACGACGTGGGACAAAAACTTTGGATTTCAAAATTGATAAACTGAGTAAAATAGATAAGAATCAGCAGCTTCCCACTGACTTTCAAGGCTGAAAAACACACAAAGATGATTAATGGCCTCAGTACAGTGGGTGTCTGTCAACCGTGGGACCACAGACAGAAAAAGTCAAACCCCTTCAGAAAAGGTGGGGGGAAAATTGGAAAAGAAAACATTGGCAGCACGGATCAATTGGATTTTCGCATTCCACTGGACTCTGTTTTAAATAACCACCTCTTAAAAATTAATTTGTGCTGATTCTCCACACATCAGTAAATCTTCTGACTTTGGAGGTGTGAGTTTCTAATGGAAAAATCCCACAATAAGCTTCCATGGTCAAGGTCAGTACATTTACTGAGCAGTAGAGAGTAGCTCAGCTTCCCAGCTAAGATCAATGAATTTGCCGTTGATCTGTATTATGATCTGTAAAAACATGTTGATCTGATTCTTGCTCCATATTGCTATACAATGGAGTATAATTATCTTGGCTTAAAGCCTGACAATGTGGCCTATTTGTGTTGGAGGTAAAAACAGAGACTTAATTTAAAAGCTGTTCAGAAACTTTGAAAGTACTGAACAATGTATCAACTTCTGTTGAGTTAAATAAATTGTTATATTTGACATAGGTTATTAGTCTCAATGCCATTATCTTAAAAAACAAGATCTAACAATTTTGAAGAAAATCTATAATTCAGTTTTAATTTGGAAGTAGTTTATCTACAATTCTGTTTAAGAATTGGAATACAATGGCTTTCATATTAAGATTGAATTTTAGATTTTTTTCAAAATTCTTTAAGATCTTAAATTTTAAAGTTAAGACCATGAAAAATCCCAGTCTATTGATTTATAGAATATACTTTGAGAAAATAAAGGGTGATTGAAGATGTTTCTCTCTAAGCAGCGACACCCTTCAGTTCTCAAGACGTAATTTATTTACAGTAATAACCGAATTGTATTCAATGAATGATGAGTATATTCATTGCTATATGAGTATATAAGCATTGCTTAGTGATCAGGTAGAAATTATTCGTAGTATAGAGTACTGTAGCTCTAAGATTTGAAGGGTTTAAATATTGACCATTAAATGTTTAATGTGCAATCCTTATCTTGGTTTCACAATTTAAATCTGGCTGGAGGGCTAACATTACAAGGTGAATCATTTGGATGCTCCACTCCTTTGTACTTTGTTCTTGTTTCTCTGACAACTAGTATTCAACACAAGAAGTTGACTATCAAAATTGGCAGTAAACCTAGTTTAAATTGTAGTGGAGAGGCACCATGGGAAGATTGCAGTGATATAAAATGATCGCTGTGATAGTTATCTTTTGAAGAGGTATCAAAGATGAAATACCCAAATAAATGAGCTTCATTTTCCTTTAAAAAAAATTAATCATAACAAGTAAAAGCTGATACATTATAAACAATACATAAGCATTTTTACTGTTTCATACACGTCAGAAGTATTGCCAAA